CAATTCTCTCTCATCATGGATGTTTCTATCTCTCTCTCCCTCTCCCTTCCTCTCTGAAATCAATGAAAATATATTTTTAAAAAGAGAGAACATTATTTCCAAATGGCAAAATGAGTCAGGAAGGCTCTCAGATGACTGCCTATAATGGTTTCTTTTGTTGCTGTTGTTAATTCTCACCGAGGACATTTTTCCATTGGTTTTTAGAGAGAGTAGAAGGGAGAAGGAGGGACAGAGAGAGAAACATCCATGTGAGAGACCCATCAATTGGTTGACTCCAGCACATGCCCTGACTATAGAGCCAGAGGTAGAGCCCGCAACCCAGGTCCATGCCATAGACCGGAATCGAACCCGGGACCCTTCAGTCTACGGGCCGACGCTCTGTCCACTGAGCCAAAGTGGCTAGCGCTATAATCGTTTCTGAAGGAACTGCTTCAGACAGAGACGTGTGTCAGCGTTCATGTCTGTCAATGATGAGAACTATGAAAATCACATCTGTGAATGTCACTTCCGGTTACATGGGCAGTATTACACTTTTACCATTTTAACAGCGACGAGGACTGTTTTAGCCCATTTCTTGGCAGATAACAAAAAGAAACCTGCTCCTCATTTTCCGTAAAAGGGGCTCATTTCTATCACAATACACGGGATGGAGCTCGCAACCCGGACATGTGCCCTGACCAGGAATTCCATCAGCAACCACAAGACGATGCTCAACCAATTGAGCCACACGGGCCAGGACGAGAAAATACTGACAATTCCATTCACAGACGTAAGTGATTGGGCTATGACTGTAACAGGAGGGAACCAATCCCTGTTGATAGCAGTCACTAATTCACTTCTACGTAGACAGACACAATTAGGAGGGTGTTCAAAAGGGTATGGTGTCATTTTTCTGATGGGGAAATTTGTAAGTGGTTCGAAATATCGTTCCCATAGCTAGATTTTTAGAGAGTGTAAAACTGTGGTAACACGGAATATTCCGGTCCTATTTGCCTCACTCTCGGGGCTTCTTCCTCGCCCACCTCCGGGTAACTTTCCAAGACGTTCCCCGTCCATCATGCCCTCATGGCCTTTGTTCTGAGTTAATCAGAGAAATACTGAGAGCAACGCATGGGTCCTAGCGGCCGCAGTGACCACCGTCAGAATCACAGTCCTTCTCTGGGAATTTCCACAAAACCACGGGATCTGTAAAGAATTGATACATGGCATTAAACAGAGACACACACACACACACACACACACACACACAAACAAAACACTTTTACAGCCACGGTTATTAAAATCCTCCGAACACGGTCAAAGCGCCTTTTTAAAAATGCCCAGCCCAGCCCTGAATGGCCACGCTGTGGTATCCCCCCCACCCCGACCCCCCGACCGTCCGACCGTCGAGGAGCAGGAAAGCACTTGGCAAGTCCCGTCTGGGTTGGAGGTTGCTGTCAGTCACGCGTGACGGGAAGAGAATTTACACAGAAATGTGGTTCCCGGTCCCATGTGCTGGTCTGAAGCTCATACAAAGGTTTGAGTGAGGTTATTTTATTCTTCCGACCCATGACTGCTCAGTGCTACACCATCTGAGCACCGGATGCTGAGTGGACAACCCACCGCCTACATCTGAAGACCGTGGGGCTGAGAAATAAGGCCTCATATAAGTAAATGGAGGATTCGGAATGACGGCGTGAGGCAGCTCACGTTCTCCTCCTCCATTCATGAATAACCAGCTACGTAACTTTTTGTTTTTGTAAATAATGGCCTAAACCCTTATAGACTTGCTCTGAACAATACTTAGACGTTTGTGAAGAAACCTGGAAAAAGATATGAATTGCTCATAGATTCAAATCAACTACCCTCTCATTCTAGATCTAAAATCATTCTTGCCAAACCCGGTTTGGCTCAGTGGATAGAGCGTCGGCCTGCGGACTGAAAGGACCCGGGTTCGATTCCGGTCAAGGGCATGTACCTGGGTTGCGGGCACATCCCCAGCAGATGTGCAGGAGGCAGCTGATCGATGTTTCTCTCTCATTGATGTTTCTAACTCTCTATCCCTCTCCCTTCCTCTCTGTAAAAAATCAATAAAATATATTTTTAAAAAATAAATAAAATCATTCTTATTTGCCCAGCCGGCGTGGCTCAGGGGTTGAGCGTCGACCTAGGAACCCGGAGGTCACGGTTGGATTCCTGGTCAAGGGCACAGGCCCAGGTTGTGGGCTCGATCCCCAGTGTGGGGCGTGCAGGAGGCAGCCGATCCATGATTCTCTCTCATCATGGATGTTTCTCTCTCTCTCTCTCCCCCTCTCTCTTCCTCTCCGAAATCAATAAAAATATATTAAAAGTAAATAAAATAATTCTTCTTTGAGTTTGACTTACAGATACAAAACCCTTCAGGAAGTGAAATTAGTATTTTAAGATGTGTTACTTTAGATCCAGCTGCAAAATAGCAGAGGCGAGAGTCTACCGACTACTTTACATAAACGCACACATTCAGAACAAAAAGGCAGGCAGTTTGGGAAACTTTGTCCGTTAGTTTCACCCCTTGAAACGTATACAAGCAAGGGGTGCCAACGCATCTAGTATAATGGCCCCTCTGTGACTGTCTTCCCCGGGAAGAATCATTCAGAGAATCAAACCACTCCGACTGTCACATGATTTTGGTCCTTCAGACTCTCAAACCATAAAGCAATGTAACCCAGAACCCCGGCCTTTCTAGATGTTTCCTCCCAGAATGATCTCCCATTAGCTTCCCGCCCCAGAACAACGCAGGCTCCTTTTGCTCAGAGGTTAAGTGAATTCCCAGCTCAGGTAATGACCATGGGACGTCAAAGAACTTGAAACTCTTAATTCGTAGCAGGTTAACGTATCACTTGGCTTCTTCCGGGCCCTTTAAAGCAAAGACCTATTATCACAAAATGAAAACCTTCATCAATCACCTGATCGAGTAATTCCGAGCCGATCGCGTGAGTCCAAACTTAACCCAACGGGGCTAATGGGTGAGAATTGAATTGAAAACACCTTGACAGAGAAAGCAATTTCTTTTCTTCGCGCTCCCCTGAAGCTGTGGGTGACCGCGGTAATCGAAGCATCAACAGCGAGGGGCCATCTGTCCCGGGGGCCATTCATGAGAGTTCGTTTTTTTGTGTTGTGTGTGTTTTTTTTTTAATTTTAAATTAACAACAACAAGAAAAGAAAGCCGCGCTGAACCACAGATGTTCAATCTTGATTAATCTATGACAAGAAACTTACAACTGAGAATCAATGTTTTGACGTTTTTCAGATACCAATCATTAAAAGCCAACACAAAAGTTCTTTACAAATACACGGGGGGCGGGGGGTGGAGAGGGGGAGTGAATGGGGAGTTGTTCATCATATCCTAAAGCAGTGATGGCGAACCTTTTGAGCTCGGCGTGTCAGCATTTTGAAAAACCCTAACTTAACTCTGGTGCCATGTCACATATAGAAATTTTTTGATATTTGCAACCATAGTAAAACAAAGACTTATATTTTTGATATTTATTTTATATATTTAAATGCCATTTAACAAAGAAAAATCAACCAAAAACATGAGTTTGCCTGTCACCTCTGACACGCATGTCATAGGTTCGCCATCACTGTCCTAAAGCAATAGCTTTTCTTATGATCCCTTTTAGAAGGAGAACAGACAAGAGGCTATGCTGGAAATGAGCTCTCGGAGCCCTGGCTGGTATGGCTCAGTGGATAGAGTTCGGATTGTGGACTGAAGGGTCCCTGGTTCGATTCCCGGTCAAGGGCACGTGCCCGGGTTGCAGGCTCGATCCCCAGTAGGGGACGGGCAGGAGGCAGCCGATCCACGATTCTCTCTCATCATTGATGTTTCTCTCTCTCTCTCCCTCTCCCTTCCTCTCTGAAATCAACAAAAATACATTTTTAAAAAATTAGCTCTTGGATTAGCATGGGAAACTGTTTACTGTGTGTATTCTCTCTGCAAGTATACGATGAAATACGAAGGACTGCGTTTATATGCACAGTTCCCACTGCACGTAAGCTTCCAACGGAAAAAAACATTTACAAATGAAAATTGTGATTTTCATTGAGCATTCCCTTTTAATACGTCAGTTTGTTAAGCGTTGTCACTAATAAACACAAGACAGGGGTTGGCAAGAGTCGGTGTACAGTTGTTCGTACGGCAGGTAACACCAGAATCACTACATAATCACACATGAATAAACGGTGTTTCTCGTCCTCGTGACTGTAAACCGATTTGTACCCAGCCCTGTAGTTCGTATGAAACACTTGGAAACCAGTATTCTTGTTTTGGGGGGGAGGTTTATTGTTGTTTTATAATGTCTTTTTTTTTAAATATATTTTTATTGATTTCAGAGAGGAAGGACAGGATAGAAAGATGGAAACATCCATGATGAGAGAGAGTCATTGACTGGCTGCCTCCTGCACACCTCCCCCCGAACCCCCGGGGATGGAGCCCGCAACCCAGGCATGTGCCCTTGACCGGAATAGAAGCTGGGACCCTTCAGTCCGCAGGCCTATGCTCTAGCCACTGAGCCAAACTGGCTAAGGCACAAACTAGTGTTTCTGTACACACGTCTTAGCTTCCTGTTTCTTCCGGAACATGTCTAACCCTGGACACAGTGAACATAGCCAACACATAATCTGCATGAAACTGTGTTGCCCTGATTGTCAACAGTTATCCTGCAGAGATACTCCTCCCCAAAACCAGACATTTCACAGCAAAGCGACCACTCTGAGACACGGCTAGTCCCCTGGAGCAACTAGAACAAAATACAAAGAGAGAACACACCATTTTTCTAAAGGAGGAAATTAACCTCATCCACGGACTGTCATGATTAAACAGAAACGATCGCTTCCACGGATATAAAAGAACAACCGTGCCCAAGACCTTGAAAAAAATTCCCCAAGTACAACAACTCCCTCTTCTAAACACCACATCCAAAAGAAACTCAACGACCAACAGGCATTTACACTCGCAGACCCCGGGGACTTCCGCGTCCCCGTGGCTGAAGGCACCCCTGCCCTCACACCATCTATCTGTTCTGTCCCAACCAATGTTGTCTGCACACATTCGTCCGTCACCTCCGATCCTCGGAGGGGTTAACTTTTACCAGAGTTCAATGCGAAAGGGCTGCTTCAGGGGAATGCACGCTCCGTCTGAACGCTGAAGGCACCCGTCCACCCTTGCACGTCTGCCACCAGACCAAGACGAAACGGTTTCTGAAATGACTAATTTCTGGACGCTTCCCCGGCTGCAGAGCACGCTCAGATGCACCAGACCGATAGCTGGGCGCTGTATTTCCAGATCCGGCCGATAAGGGAGGAGGAAGTGAAAGAGGAAAGGACCCTATCTGATCCTCACCGGTTCTGCCAACTCAGGGACAGAGCCTGTGGTTCATCGTCAATGTCCTTCTTTTAAAAAAAAATTTTTTTTTTAAAGATATCACCCCTTGCTTGTGATGATAAAAATCTACAGCCTTTCAGTGCTCTTGGCAAGAAAGCTTTTGGACATGTTTTTATTAAAACCCGAAATACGGGTGTTGGAGATACAGCACGGCCTTTTCTTCACTTCGTTTATTTTTTTAATATATTTTTATTGATGTCAGAGAGGAGGGGAGAGGGAGAGAGAGAAGCATCCATGATGAGAGAGAATCATGGACCGGCCGCCTCCTGCACGCCTCCCACTGGGGATGGAGCCCGAAGCCCGGGCATGTGCCATGACTGGGAATCGAAGGTGACCTCCTGGTTCCTAGGTCGACGCTCCAACCCTGAGCCCACTGGTTTTTTTTAAAAAATTGTTTTTATTGATTTCAGAGGAAGGGAGAGGGAGAGAGAGATAGAAACACCGATGATGAGAGAGAATCATGAACCGGCTGCCTCCTGCACGCCCCCCACTGGGGATCGAGCCTGCAACCCAGGCCTGTGCCCTTGACCGGGAGTCGAACCGTGGCCTCCTGGTTCCTAGGTCGATGCTCAACCACTGAGCCACACCGGCCGGGCTGAAATGGGGTTAGGCTTTGACACCTGCAGCCGAGGCGGCTCTATGAGGGAGGATGTGCCGACCGAAGCCACATCTAAAAGTCCAGCTGGACTCAAAGATTTTCTACATGAAACAAAGGCAGCGCCTCTCACAGACACGGCTCTACAGAGCCACGCACACTGTGGCCGCCGGCTGGCAGGTGGGAGAA